CATCATCATCATCATCATCATCATCATCATCATCATCATCATCATCATCATCACCATTATCATCATCATTATCCTCTTCATTTACCAAACTATTCTCCCTCCCCAGAACACCTACGTCCAGGGCCCGTTCGGCGAGGTGTTGCCTCAGTTGGTGTTCGGCGGAGCGGGAATTGTGGGAGGACTTCTGGCCCTGCTACTTCCGGACACCAGGAACCGGAAGCTGCCAGAAACCATCGCAGACGCCGTGAATTACGATCAGGCCACAGTCGTCACTGAGCACAACAATGATGCGACAAAAGAAACGGAACTCGCGGACTCTAAAATATCTGAGGATGATGAACAGATTTTGAAAGAGCACGTATAATTTTGTAGATATAATTAATTTTTGTTGGTGCCATTTTGCCTGTATGTGGAATAAAAAGTCTGCGCATTTGAGCAATAATGTTTGGTTACTTTACATTTCTTTCATGGACCTAGAAGAGTTCTTTGGAATGGAAGATTATGACGTCAATTCCCCCACCCCTAACTCTTGACTCCCCCCCCCCTGCAAAATCATCTAACAAACAAACAAAGAAATAATATTAAAAAAAGGCAACTCTCTATTCTGCAATAAGACTTTCCTTTTAAAGGAAGATGCAGATTTGCCAAATGACGCCGACTGTTTTGATGATTTTAAAAAAACCCAATAATTTTTATGAATGATCATCTTAATAACAAACAGAGTATAATTAGAACTTTTCGTTATTGCTCTCACAGATGTTTACTACAGTGCGGTCAAAAATTCCTGGCGCAGCTTATCCTCAAATATCTTTATTACGGGTGAATCAATGTTATCAATACTTTATACAGCAGTTTACAACAATTTGTCTTAACTTAATCATATTTTTCCACAACAATTGACGTTAGATTTAAAAACTTTTCTTCATAAATTTATATAAAATACTAGAAATCTTCTTCACACGGAAAATGGAATTGTTCACAGCAGTTCCCGCTTCTCACACACATTGTGATTACGCATTTGGCCTACGTCACAGCTCTCAATGACACTTTTTAGTTGCAAACTTAGTTACAACTGGTTACAAGAAATTAATTTTATAGTGAACACTTTTTTACACTTTCAATGTCTCGATTAGAAAAACATGACGGACTTGCTTGTACTGTCCCAGCTGTAAACCTTTTAAAATCTGTAGAACCTATCCACTGGGATTTTTGATTAGTATTCATTAAGGAATTTTCTAGAATAGAGCTAACAGGTGTTAAAAAATATTGATCTGTTAAGACAAATTGATTCAAGTCACAGTGAAAAATCTGGAGAGTCTATGTTCTTTAGTTGAGGAGATATTTGACAATAAGCAAGAAGTTGCGCCACGAATTTTTTACCTCAATATAATGCCTTTGACAGTCTGTCTTCTTTTAGTTTAGTTTTAGTAGATGTTTTACGGCTCTCGCAACTGCATAAGGTCATATGAGTGCCAGAAGATTAGAGGTGTTACAAGAGAGTAACAAACTTAAAAAAGAAGAAGGGGAGATAAGGACGGCAGTTGTTTGATAGGAAAGAAGGAGCAAACCACACCATGAGAACACCCGCCAACCACCTGTTTCTCTGTCGTGTACAAATAAATTTGACTTGGGCCTTTACATAAGCCTTTGAACAGATTCTTTTTACAAATACATCCCGTACCACTTTTTCTGGAGTCGTATTAATGATCTAATTATTGAGTGATAAATGCAGGGACCACAAGAATGTGAATAGCTAAATACCTTGACACCACAACACAGTCTGGGGATGAGAAATAAACTAAAAGTTTTCTTTT